CCCCGGGGACGGGGACCCCTTGAAGCAAGCTGCCCGCCGTCCTGCTCAGCACCCCGGGGACCCCCTGAGACGGGCTGCCCGCCGCCCCCTCAGCACCCCGGGACCCCATAAAGCAGGCTGCCCGCTGCCCCCCTCAGCACCCCGGGGACTGCCCGCTCTCCTCCCGCCGCTGGCCAAGCGGGGCTCCTCGTCCCGCCATCGCCCGCCTCCCCCGCGGCCGGGCCGGGCCGGCCGGGGCTCCAGGCCGCTGGCTCCGCCCGCACCACATGACTCCGCCGTCGGGAGAAACTTTTCCCGTCCCGCGGTTGGAAAATGGCGGCGTAAGAGCGGGGCTCTCGCATCCCCCGCCCGGTCCGGCCACCCCCCAGCGCCATGACCCGCTGGGTTCCCACCAAAAGGGAGGAAAAATACGGCGTAGGTGAGGACCCTCCCGGCCCCGCTCCCGCCTGTTGCGCTCCGCCTGCCCGCGGGGAACCCCCAGCCGCGGGCCTTCCTCTCCCCCCCATCCCGCCCGGGCTCTCCCGGAGCCGGTCTCCGGCGGCGGCCCCGCTCCGCTCCCCGGGCCGGGGCCGCGCTTCCCCGGGCGGCAGCGCCCGCCGGTTTCCCCACCGCCCGAGGGAACGGCGTGGCCGGGAAGGAGCGGGGGGTTCTGCCGGCGGCCCCCGCTCCCCGCCGGGCTCCGCTGCGGGAAAGTTTAGGAACTTGGCTGGAAGCGCCGGGCAACCTGCGCCCGAGCCGTCCTCGCGTGAAAAAAGTCGGTTTTTCTTTTTTTCCTGGATGTCTTTTATTCTTCCCGAGTGCTACTTGGTCTGAGTAGAAGAGGGCTTTGAGTTATTTTGACGTCTGTTTCTTTTTTATCGTTCTTTTTTTTGTTTTCTTTCTCTTCCCTGCTGGCCCCTAAACAGGATACGCTCCCGGTGCGGGACCCTCGGGGGGAGCCGGGCAGCCCACCCAGCGCCGTGGGGATGCTCCCCCCATCTCCTGTGTCCCCCCCCTTCCCCCGGGAGAGGCTGGGTTTGAGGCCACCGAGGGAAAAGGCTCTGCCTCGGGTTTAAGGCCACCGAGGGAAAAGGCTCTTCGTTGTGCGGGGAGTGTGATTTTCATACAGATGAGGGGTTCCCCCCCTGCTCGCTGCTGCCTGGGGATCCATTTCGTACTCTGCCTCTTCCGTCCCTCGCAAACAGAGGGGGATTGTTCTCTGGAGTTCAAACCTCTCCGCTTTTAATTAAACGGAACCAAACTCTGGTGTGGTTTTTGGGCAGTGTTGCGCCGAGAGGGCCCGTCCTGATGCTGAAGATGTTTTGTTTTGATGGGAAGCGGTTTTTAGGGGTTATGGAGAAGAAGGCTTTCCTGGCATGAGTGAGAGCGTTTGTCTTGGGGAAGGAAATAATAAATCTGACTATTCAATTTGGAAATACAAAGTTCAGTGTCTACCACCATTCTTGGACTCTACTGGTTGTGAAGAACAATTTACTTTTCGTATATAGTCCCAGCTAAGCCTGTATAAACAATGTAAGCAGGAAGAAGGGTGTTTCTGAGCCCAAGTGAGTTTTAGGAATTGATTTAAAATTCTGGGTGTACATCCCTAGAAAAAGAGAGCATGACTTTTAAATGGCTGGCAAATCCTAGATGGCCAGTTACTCTGTGTGAGAGCTGGGGGAAATGCCAGCACTGAGGATGCAGGATTAATATAAGAAAGCAGAAATGCTACAGGTGGCAGCCACTCATTAAGTTTTTCAAAATACCTGCTTCAGGTAGGGTATTTCTGAAAGACTGGAACGAGAAGATCGTCTACACTGGTGTTATAAATCAGTGACACTCAAAAGCAAGTTCCTCTTTTATTGGAGCTCGTGTCCAACACTGTGGCAAAAGGGATTTCCCCAACCTGGGTTTCCAGGAATTGTTGTCTTGGAAGTGATTTGGAAAGGGTGAGAGAAGAAGAAACATGGAATAAACTGAGTATTTTAAAATACACTTTAAGTGTATTTGGATATCCAGTGTGGGAAATTGTATGTGTAGTAAGGGAATAAGACTGCAATGTAATTTAAGGAAAAAAAAGTGTTTCACAGTTTCAAAAAGCACAGGATTATGTGCTCAATTGGTGCTCGGTTAGTGGGTTTTGTTTGCACCCGCTGCTCTGGAGAGAAGTTTGTTACGGTTTTATAATAGGTTTGTTTTTCTATGGTAAGTTTCTTTTCCTTTCCCTGCAAGTTAGCTGGGAGGAGTGATCCTCAGCAAAATTAGGGTATTCCTTTGCTGAACTGCAGGGGTGTGAGAGTGGAAAGTAGAGGTGGTGTTGCAAGGAGATAAAATCAGATTTAGAGCTAATTGAACGTTGCGATTCACTGGCCCGTGCTGTGCTGTTAGATGCTGCTTTGGGAGGGGTGGCTGCTTTTTGGTGTTGCTGCATTTCCTCCTTAAGAAGGTGGATATTCAGTTTGGATGCACGTGTTTTACACATCTCTGTGTTGTTAAAAAACTTGCTTGTGAAACTTCCAGGTTGTGGAGAATTGAAGTAGCAGATACATAGTCCCAAACAGAAATGGAGAAGGCACTGTTAAGGTGAACACGCTAATAAAGGAATATTTTTGTTCCTAAGGATTTACTGTGGCCAGTCCTGAAGTCTTACAGTGGAACAGAAACATCTGCCTCTTTCCATTTAATTGAACTGTTAATTGATTGATGTTAATTGGATTGTTAATAGAACTGCATCTTAGTCATATGCATATAATATGCTTAGTGTGTGTGCTTTACTGAAGCAGAAATAACAGAAAAGTATCTCTGGTTGTGGGTTATGTTACTTATGCTGCAGTTGTGGGAGCTCAGAAATGTGTGTGTGTATACATACGTGTGTGTATATATACATAAATTGTGTATATATAACATATGCATGTGTGTTTATGTGATACATACATATACTTTTTCCCTTCTCTTGACTAGTGTGTTCCCATGCACAACTGAGCCTTCTTAACATCTCAAGTCCCAAAAGTTTGCTGGCTGTGATGAGGTCAGAATAAATTACTGCAAGGCACCTGTGCTGAAACTGTGATAGGATACAGGTGTGTTAAGGAAAGCTCCTCCCGCTGACCCCTTCCCACCCTGCACGGTGGGGTTTGCAGGTGATGCTGATGTCCAGCACATGTGTAAACTGAATTTATTGCCTTAAAATGAGGAATGCTGCCTCGAAGTGCAGAGGCATTATCTCAGCAGGCAGTTGTGAGCGTGACTCAGCTCCGCTTCCTGAGAGAATTCGGGGCTCGGCGTGCGGGGAGGTTGGATGAGGGATGGGTGTGGGTATAATGGGATAATACAGTTATTAGATTAACGTACGGGGAACCATCCGAAACAGGAAAACGATCAGCTTAATTGAAGTAGCTTTTCTCCCCTCCCAATGTGGCGTATCCTTCTCCTTCCTCTTGGTGCCTGGCTCTGTATTTCATCTCTCGCCGAGGCGGTGGGGAGGCTGTGGTGGTGGTGAGACGGTCACCTGGGTGAGCAGCTTTCTTGGAAGGCACACGAGAGGCTTTCAGGGAGCCCCAGAAGCTGCTTATGTCTCCTCCGTACCCTCCGTGTCCCGAGTGGCTGCTCAGTCTCATATTTCCTGCTTTTAGCGCGGTGCGAAAATTGTAATTTTGGTGTTCTTCCTTTCGCTGGTGGAGAGGAGATGTGATGAGCTGCTTTGGGAAGTCTGCGAGCATGAATAGTGCTTCTGGGAAAGTGGCTTTAGTGCCTTCCAGATCCTCTTGGCTTCTGCTGCCGTTTGACCCTATTCCTTTGGACTTAAAGCTGCAATAAGAGGTAGAACTGGAGCTACTACGGTTACCACAAATACAGTCTTCAAAATTATGTACAGATATGGAGTAGTTAATCACTGCTGTGATAGTTTAATCTGGTTATTGTTTTTTTTTTTTTTTTTTAATAAATGGGGAAATAGAAAAATAGTGCCAGGCATGTCCGAGCATGGTCAGATGGAGAAGGAGAACTTCCTGGCTATGGGGTTTGCATTCTCTGAGATCCTGTTAATTTTCAGGATGCTGACTCTGCTTTCCTCTGCTATTCCTGATGAGTCACTGGAAAACATGGATAATCGTGCCCGTGCCATGACCAGTAAGCCAGTGCAGGCTCTACCTTGCAGGCAAAGTGCTCCTGCCTTTAGACAGCTTCATAAATGCAAACCTTGATGAAGAAGGTATAGACAAAGCTTTAAGGGAAGGGGAAAGTAAACTGGATGCAAGTGAGAGTCAAACCAGCATCTCCGGGAAGGCTTTCCATCAGCTTGCAACTACAGGCATAAGCATTACAATATTTTTTTTCTTTGAAATATTTGTGTTTCTGGAGTTTGTCCAGTATTGGCTGTAGAGCACATGCAGGATATGCTTTGTCTAATCCTTTAGTAGTCCTTCAGGACTGAAATCCAATACGTCTTGTTAAATACCCATAGATGTGTCCAACTTCAGATAAATAGCTGAAAGCTGACTTATATTAATGAATTGAAGCTCAAATGAGGAACTAGTGCTAATCCAGTTTTAAGGTATTTACTCCATTAATGATGTCAGTCTTACCTCTCCTCTTCTGCTTACTCCAGGTCTGAAATGTTCACAAAGCAATCAGTGGTGGCCACTCACTGTCTCTGTGAAATGCATGGGCTGCTCTTCTTCACGGGCTTTCTTTGAAAGGGAGATGGACCACTGAAAAATTAGCATATCTTCTTTTTTTTTTTTTGTAAAAAAACTT